CTAAATTTTTATTGAAAAATATTTAATTATTACAAAGTTATTAACAATCTTTGTTAGTTATTGAGTTTTTGAGTTATCGAACCGACCGTGGAGGGAGGAAATTTTCTCCAGTGCTCGACGAGATTGTTAATAACTTTGTAATAATTAAATATTTTTTAATAAAAATTTAGGGTAATAATCTTTAATGTACCCTTAATAAAATAAAAAAAAATCCGATTCCCAAATTCCTTTATTTTCCCTGTCAAAAAAATTCCTGAAAATCACCTCTTTTTTTCGATCGTCACAGGGGTGTTCCCCCTTAAATCAAGAATAATTTCTTGACTCAAGAAAATCATTTTCTTCAAAATGGTATTCTTGGTTCAAGATTTTGGCTCTTGAGTCAAGTTAATTTTTTTATCAGTGTAACAATTATATAACTATAATTCAATGTTTATACATCAGTATTTTTGTTAATCCAATAAAAATTTTCTAGTTCTACCTGTCTCCTAGTGTCGATCGCGACATGTTTGAAGAAGCATTGAAGGTATTGGAATTTTTTGACAGAGAACTAGTTTCTCGAGCAAGTCCTTTCTTCGGCGGAGTGAAACCCGGCATGGTTGATCTTATGATTTGGCCTTGGTTCGAAAGAGCTGATATTATTCGTATCATGAGAGGAGAAAATTACGTTATTCCTCGTGAGCGCGTTCCTCGTATTGTAAGTATTTTATAGCAAACATTAATTTAGTCATCAACTACATAATTTATGAATGTATAAATAGATGGAATGGAAAGCTGCTATGAAGGAAGATCCAGGCGTTAAAGTCAGCTGTCTGGAACCTGAAGTTCATGCTAAGTATATGAAGAGTCGTGGTGCTGGTACACCGCAATACGATTTACTCGTTCAATAAGACGTAATTGCAACTAATTCTTCCTGATACTCTTCCTTTTTATATAATTTCTTATTAATATTTTTTTATTAACAATAGCATAGAAATAAATTTTTTATGATACATTTTTTTCATGGTCAATAAATTTTATTATTATATATAAAATTTACATATAGTATATTAATAGTAATATTTATATATTGAGAATAATTCATGGAGAAACCCGAAACAACTTTCTAATTAGCTTAATACCTAGAAATATTTCGTCAAGCTTTAAAATATAAGAACTCTACCAGAAATTGATATCTCGAAAAAAAGAAAACTAATTGTTAAAGTTTTATTTTTATTTCTGAAAAATTCTCGATTGATATTTTTGAATTACGATACAATGAGTTTTTGAATTTGATTTTAACAATAGTTATTACCGGTTATAAAGAGCAAACATTCTAAAAATAAACAGTGATTAATAATAGTAAATGACGTATTAGAGTTTCGTTTATCTGTTAATAATCATCTAATTCTTCAAGTGACGTGTATACATTATTTTCCTCATACGATAGACAATAGTGTGTTCAGTTTACAGTAAAGAAATTGAAGGAACAACTAGTTGAAATATTTTTTGTAAAAATGAGTGTGAAACATCTAAAATCAGGTGAATTATTATTATTAATTTTTGTAATATTTTAAGTTTTAAAGAATATCAATAAATGTTTATTTAATTAAAATTTATTCTAGGTTCCATTGCTCCAGCAGTAGTTCCAGGAAAACTGCGTCTGTATGCGATGAAGTTCTGTCCGTTTGCACAACGTGCTCGATTAGTTCTTGATACAAAAAAAATACCGTAAGTAGGAATTAATAAATTTATTAGATCATTATATTTCTATGATAACACTAATTAAATTAATTAACTGCTTTAGGTATGATATGGTGTTCGTAAATTTGAATGATAAACCCGAGTGGCTGACTGAAAAAAGTCCTCTAGGCAAAGTACCGTTCATTGAATTCGAAGACGGTGAAATTCTCTACGAAAGTCTTATCGTCGTCGATTATTTGAACGAGGCTTATCCTGAGACGAATTTGTATCCAAGTGATCCAAGAGCTAAAGCGAAGGATAAAATTCTGATTGAACGTTTCAATGCAGTAACTATATTAATGTACAGAGTAAGTCGAACAATTAATTCAAATTTTATTACTATTATAATTATTGCTTGGTAATTAAATAAAAATTCTAGCTTAATAATTATTGCTTATTAATTGAATAAAAATTCTAGCTTAATAATTATTGCTTATTAATTAAATAAAAATTCTAGCTTTTCACGTCAACAAAAATAGATCCTGATATGTTTGAAGCAATGTTAAAAGAACTAGAATTTTATAACGGAGAACTAGTTAGTCGCGGCAGTTTATTTTTCAATGCAGATAGACCTGGTATGGTAGATCTAATGATTTGGCCATGGTTTGAAAGAGTTGGTATTATTTCGATTATGAAAGGGGACAAGTATACTGTTCCACACGAACGAGTTCCTCGCATTGTAAGTATTTTATTCTTAATCATCTGTAATGCAATTTGAGATGTTAATTTTATTTATTAACACAGATGGAATGGAAAGAAGCTATGAAAAAACATCCAGGTGTTGCAGTCAGTTATCTTGAGCCAGATTCTCATGCTAAATATATGCTAAGTCATCTAAATGGTAATCCACAGTATGATTTTTAGAAATTTTTTTAATTCTGATAAAAATATTTAATATTATATTATGTTTCATCATAAATAAACTTTATTATCATAAAATATAAAATAAAAATACAATAATGTATTGAAATCACGATAATAAATGGAATATATCTTTATCTGTTTGTAATAATACTATTACTGTAACATTATAATTAATAAGTACGTTAATTATTAATTAACAATGATTAACAACTATTATTGAGCAACATTACAATCTCCAAAAATTTAGACCTTGATTTCAGGTAATCGGGTTCGTATACGGAAGACTTTAAACAATAAATTATAAATAATACTAAAGTTAGCCGACGTTTTTAATTTTTTAATTTTCTTTTAATAATTAAATTAGAACAAAAAAATATTTTTTAAAAATTGCACTGTCAGTTTTTAAAGTTTTTTTACAAATGAAAATTTTTTTCAATTTTTTTGTCATCATTTTTTCAATAAAAGAAAATTCTAAAAATTTTTAGATGTCGGCTAACTTTATTTTCATTAAATTATAAATAAATTTAACTAAATTCTATTAATTATCTACGAAACTTATGGATTTACGTCTCCAACTTTAGAAGTTAAAAATGCGGTAGGATTAAAAATTAAACAGTACAATCCGTAGAGTAAAAAACAAGCAAACACTAAAGGAGCTGCAACCATAAATGTGCGAGTGTTCTCACGTCGTAATTTTTGCAATAAATTTCTATTTTTATCTAAAACTTCGCGGAGTAACTCCACCTCACGTTCAAATATCTCCCGACTCTCCCGTGTCAATAACTTTGACAGTAGTTTTTTTTCGACTAACTCCAATCGTTGTGTGGTTTCTCGCAGTGAATCCTCCAAACGCCCCATCTGTCAAACAATCACAATTAGTCATTATTAAAAATATTTTCAATCACATGATACTGAAGTTAGCTGTCAGCTGTCAATTTTAAAAATTTTTTTATTAAATCAATTACAATAAAAAAAATGCTTCTAAAAATTTTCACTCGTAATTTTTACTAATTTTCACATGTGGAATTTTTTAATTATTTTTTTTATAATAATTTAATTGCTCTAAAATTCTAAAAAAATTTTTAATGTCTGTTAACTTCAGTGTCATTAAATCATTCAAATATTTACTATGCACACAAACATAAATTATTTTTAACAACAAAAATATAAAAAATATATACATAATGTTGAATTCCATAATATTTCCTAACCTCCGACATAATTGAACTTTTCGAGTGTTTTACTTTTATTGGCTCCTCCTTAGGTACTTCATTGAGCATACTTTTATTTAAAATATTTTTTTGTACCATTTTGATTAACTAAACACAACCTTAATTAGCACAACTTAGTTAAACAATAATTTTTTAGTAACTAATAACTTTTAGTTTGAATATAAGTAGAGGAAGTGGAAGTATATAGAAGTAGAGCAAACAGATGATGGCTGAAAGTGACGATCCCGCCCCAACTGTGATGACCGGACACACAGACAGTTTAATATTTTTTTTTTTTCTGTACTTTAAACCAACAGGTGGTTGAGAAGTTCGTTGAGTGCGAGTGCGCTACCACTTGGTCAGCTTTGTTTTTTTTCTATGAGTGTTTACATTTCATCAGTGTGATTGTTTGATTAAACTTACTGTGTTATCTTATCTCAATTGTTATAAAAAAAAAAAAAAAAAAAAAAAAAAAAAAAAAAAAAAAAACATGGAAAATTGATAATACTAAAGTTAGCTGACGTTTTTAATTTTTTGATTTTTTTTTAATAATTAAATTAGAACAAAAAAATATTTTTAAAAAATTGCACCTACAGTTTTTAAAGTTTTTTACAAATGAAATTTTTTTTTTTTATTTTTTTGTAATAAAAAAAAAAAATTCTAAAAATTTGTAGATGTCGGCTAACTTAATTTTCATGGAAAATTGTTATGATACTGAAATCAGCAGACAATCTGTCAAATTTTTATTTTATTTAAGAAATAAATTAGTACAAAAAATATATTTTAGAAAAGTTTCACTTTTAGTTCTTTAAAATTCTGTGAATTTTTTTTTTTTTTTTTTTTTTTTTTTTTTTTTTTTTTTTTTTTAAAGAATCTGTTTGTTAAAAAAATTGTCAGGTGTCTATTACTTTCAGCATCATAAATTGTTTTGCATTAGAAAATTAAAAATAAATATTTTTCCAAAATCCGTATAAATATTTAATGATCAAATAATTTATTTTATCTGATTTTGTACATGGCACTTTGTTATTAAAATTAACACAAAAATACATAAAATTTTTTTTTTTGTTAACTTTGGTAAACTATTTGATTAAAAAAAATTATTTATAATATCATTTAGTAAATAATTAATATAAAATCTGTCTTAAAAATAATTTTTTAGTCAATTTGGCTATTTAAGGCAGTAAAATTTATAAAATATTTATTTTAATTATTATTATGCTTTTGTTTATTTATTTAAATAAAACTGACTCAAAACTAAACGCCAAGAGCCAACTTTAAAATAAACAAATATTTCATAATTCAGTTTTTAACGCTCTCTGATTCGCAGCAATAATTATCGAATTTTCAGTGTCACTGATGTATCCATTTTCCCCGGTGTAATGAGTAGGATAAATAATAAGGGGAGCAGCGGAAAGCGCAACTAGATCGCGCTTAGGAAAGTGTCCTTTCCAATTGACTCTTGGGTGTTTGTCAAAAAGAATCGGCAAGAATTCATCCACAGGGACGAGTGAATCCAAAGGTTTGGCTTCTAATAATTTCTTAGCACCAGACCCGGATAAAATGTACCCAAGAGTCCAATAAGAATATCCAGCGTATACTAAATAATCGGAGCCATCAACATACTCTTCGCCTCGTTCTTGCATTCGCTTTCTTCCCAAGTACACCAGGTCCCAGTTTATCTTCAGTCTGTCCAGCTCTTTCATGATAAAATTGACTTTATTACGAAAAAATGGCTCGAAGCGTACATCATCTTCAAGTACCATAACTTTTTCGTAATTATTATCAATAACGTCATTCCAGATGTTGAAATGACTGAGGAAGCAGCCGATCTCTCCCATCTTCATGGGTCTCTTGTGATAAGGATCCGCGTACTCAGGCATCATTCTGACTCCAGAGTTTATTAAAACGCTTTCGTTGAGCTGTTTGCCATCAACTGCGTCAACTGTCTCTGCTTCGATACCCAGTTCGTCAAAGCAGCGATGCATCCTGACGCGCCTCTCAGGTCTCCTTCGTAAGTTGATCATGTAGATACGGTCCAAGCCCAGCTTGTCTTTCTTGGGATACGTGATAAATTTCTTCATAGACTGCGAGAGAGGCAGCTCAGCTTGCAGAGACAAAATTTCTAGTTTTAAATTTGTCAATTGCTGGTAGTCATGCTCCAAGGTATCTTGACTCTCCAGTGGCACCATTACATATCCGTAGATTTCATCATTACAAACATGCAGAGGCGTTGAAGATAAATTTGCGGAGCGAGCGAATGTTATGATGTCATCTTGAGGCCCGTCGTAATTTTCTAATTTTTCTGATTTGTATGTCAGGTAGTCGCTGCTCTGTCGACGCAAATCAGTTAGCACTGCGCTGTGGATCATCGGAACTTCATGGCAACCAGGGTTCTCACGATTCAATATCGGAGTATATTGTTCTGTACGCATGTAATAGTACTCTGAAGTCATTCCAGCCCAAAAATTACTGTACATACCGTCGGATTTTAGCATTGGAGATGCTACTGTCTTGTTCTTGGCTACCAATAGATCCAAAGTTTTGGGATTTGTCAAAAATACATCAGCATCAAGCATCTGTAAATTATATAATATAATTTTTGTAAAAATTTTATCAACGATTTACAAAATGGGTTTGTATATATGATACTGAAGTCAGCAGACAAATGAAATTTTTTTTTTTTTTTAATAAAAATCAATTGTAAAAAAAAAATATTTAAAAAAAATTTTCACTTGTGATGCTTTTAAATTTCCGCATGTGAATTTTTATGATACTGAAGTTACCAGACGTCTAAAAATTTTTGATTTTTTTTATTAATTAAATTACAACTAAAAAGATATTTCTAAAAAATTGCACTTATAGTTTTTCAAGTTTTTTACAAGTGAAATTTTTTTTTTTAATTGTTTAATTGAAATTTTTTCAATAAAAAATTCCTAAAAATTTTGAAATGTCGGCTAACTTCATTTTCATGAATTTTTTCATAATTTAATTGTTACTAGCAATCTTGCAGTCACTATGTGACTGCCGTGACTTGTGAACTGTAAAAAATTAAAATTTTGCTTTATAATATAATGACTTTCGTTGAATTGAACTGTACTTTCTTAAATATTGACATTCTTTAAGATATAAGCTCATCCCGGTGTTAAACTCATCAAAAGCTTTCATTTGAGTACCCACATGCATTTTTATATATTTTTCATATATACATATATATAATATCTATAAATATATGAAAAATTGATGTGGGTACTCAAATGAAAGCTCTTTATGAATGTAATATCAAGATGAGCTTATATCTTTAAAAATGTTAATAGTTCACAAGATATTTGTTAAAATGCCCTGTAGTTTCTTAACTATTAACGATTTTAAAGATATAAGCTCATCCCGATGTTACACTCATCAAGAGCTTTGATTTAAGTACCCACATGCATTTTTATATATTTTTCATATATACATATTTATAATATATATAGATATATGAAAAATTGATGTGGGTACTCAAATGAAAGGTCTCGATGAGAGTAACATCGGAGTGAGCTTATATATTTAAAAATATCAATATTTCACCGGATAAAAGGTCATTTCTTAATTATGTATCTGGAGATAGAGCATTTTCGAATGCAGTTTAAATACTTATTATAATTAATTGACTATCGGTGAAAATTAAATAAAACCTTGAAAAAGCACAAATTCAAGTCAAGACCTTTGCAATGACACTAAATTTCATTAAAAAAAAACCGATTTTATCATATGACTATTTTGGAAACAAAATTTTTTGTATTCTCTTAATAATTTAATTGCTATAAAAGTCCGAAACTGCCACATATTTGTTAATTTCAGTATCATTTCGTAAATTCTTAAAGTGAAACATTCAAATACTTACAAAAAGATAATCGGCCCAAATTTTACGTCCATAATTAAATAATTCTTCACGTAAATTAATAACATGTGTAAAACGATTAGACGACCAATCAGCAATATCCTCTTCATCTTCAATCCCCGTAGACTTTTCATCCAACACAACATTTACCAAATGATAATTAGACAATTGTTCATTCAGCCAGACATTTAATATTTCAATAGAATTATCCACATTGTTATCACTCCGAATCCTGAAAAAGTAATTAAATTTCATAAAACAAACTATGATAACATAAAATAAAAAAATAAATATCAGAGCTCCTGATACAGAGGTTAGACTTACCATAAACTAATTCGATCTTTAGGATACTCCAAATCCTGAAGAAGACTTAAAAAATACGGCAATGTGTGTGCTTTATTCCTTACCAATATACCAATTAAAATAGTTGGTTTTTTTATAACCTCATTGCTTATCAAACCAAAAAAACTAAACACTAATAATATAATTATTTTATAGATTTTCATCTTGACGTTAAATACTGTGTAACTAAAAAACTGCACGTTCTTCTACCGGAACATTGACCGAATGTATACATTAAAATGAATTTAACAAATTATTTCATTGATTATAGAAGGGATAAAATTGATAAGTGAATTGTCGTTTGTGCTACGGAAGATGCAGGACAGTTTATCTCGCTTTATGTTTTGTCCTTTTTTATCACACATGTTTTTTTTCTCTCTCTTCTGCACATGTCACAAGTTCCAGGCTCTAAAAATAATCTGTTTAAAACTTTTTCTGTTTAATAATACTTAATTTACAAAAAATACTTTTCCTGTATAAAAATGTACAAAATTTTTTTTTCAATAACTACTATGTCTTTTAATTAATAATTATAATTAATGATTAATATTTTCATTTGATTCTTTTGAGGTATCTGTTGTTTTTTGTTTTTTCTTTTGTTGATAACTTAAACTATTACGATCGAATTCTAAACTCATTATTCCTAAATCGCCACTGTAACGATTTTTGGCAATCTAAAAAAAAAAAAAAAAAATGAATTTCTTTAATTAAAAAAAAAAAATTATTAATTAACGATTGCTTGGATTTATACTTACTTGTAAATACTTTTTTCCTCGAACACTAATCAATCGTTTATCTTGGATAATTAAAACATTATCAGCTTCTTGACTAGCTTTTGCCCCACCAAAAATCGAGGCAGTGGTAAGTTCTTCTTCAACGCGTTCTTTCCTCGGATGAATTACCAGTGTGACATGGCAGTTACTTTTGGTAGCGAAAGAACGAAATTGCGAGACAATCATGTCCTGCCTCCAGTACCTATCAACGTGCTTAGATTGTTCGGACATTCCCATCATAAATTGCACATTGTCGATGATCACATGAGCAATATCGTGGACGTAGGTGGCATGCTCGACGGCCTCCATCACGACGTCTATACTCTGTTGGCCATGAAAAGTCATGAAATAAATCGGCAGCTTTTCAAATTCGTCGGCAAAGTTATCAAAGCTTTGAATATTCTCGTCTAATGGCATTCCGGCCATTTGCTGAAGCATCGTCCTAGCAAGTCTTGCATTTCGGATTTCAAAACTTCCCCACAGGGTATTTACACCTTGCATTGCTAGGTCTAGAGAATACTCGCTCATAAAAGTCGTTTTTCCGCAACCTTGAATTTAAAAAAAACTGCTGTTAAATCCTTGTAACAATAATTAAATGAACATTGCAAAAATTAAAAAATTTTTCCATTTAAATTTAAAATTAAAATAACATTTTTGTTTTCTAAATAATCAATGTTTGGAGTTTAAATTAAAAATTAAAAAAAAAACAATGAATAACTAAATTTAATATTATTATTAATTTTAAAGAATAAAATTTGCAACTTTTTACTTAATTAAATTCATCTATATCTATAAAACATATCAGTAGGTCCAGTAAGTACATGAGCAGAATTACTAGAAATTTTCTTTCTCCAACAAGAAAAATAAACATTTTATAACCTAGTTAAAAAAAATGTGTTCCTATAAATATTTTAATTATTACACGTATCAAATGTATATTAATATGGGTTTTATATAAATCTCATATTTGTGTGAAAATATGAGAATCATTATGACATTCATAATGAATCTCATCATGATATCACATGAATTTTACACGGGTTTATTTTTTTATTGAAATTTTTTATCGAGATTCATTATCAATTAACAGAATCACTTTTTTGGTAAATAAGGTAGTGAATTTTGATAATTACATATTTTTGTCGGTAGAAAATACATTATATGAGTATTTATTTTCTAAATTTTCTAAATTATACAACTCCCAACTTTAAAATCACCCAGATAGTCAAAACTCCAACTACTATCCACATCACTGTGTTGAGATAGTCGAAATACCAAGCAACTATCAAAAGAATTATGATTGTAATCAGTATGCCACTTTGTATGAATTTATCCGTACGTTGCTTTAAACCCATTGTTTAAATTATTTAACTTTGACCAGTAGGAAAAAATTGATATAGAAAAATTTTTATTGGTAAATAGTATCAGAAATTTTAAATTATTTATTCGTTCTAATAAAAGGAATAGAAAAAAATTAATGCTTCAATTATTTGCTTTCTTCTACAAAGTTATGAAAAAAATTTGCAACTTTCGAGTTAATTAAATTTATTTAAATCTATAAAACATACCAGTGGGTCCAGTAAGTACAGTAAATTCTCCTCGGCGATGTCCTTTTAATACTCTATTTAATGTAGGATACCTAGTCCATTTAACTCCCTGAACTTTATCAATATTCTGCAAGTCACTCAACACATCTTCACGCAGAGTATTGAAAGTCGTGATGCTTTTATGCCAAATCGGCTGAGCCTCAGCAATAATATTCTTAAGATTGTACCCTTCGAGAGCAGCAATTTTGGGTCGAGGCTGTTGATTAGTTGGCCTCACAAAGAAACAACGTTTCTCGTTTAATTTTTTGGAATAGTGTCTCGCTGAATCCCAACTCGCTGCGTCGTTTCCGAACCAGAGAATCAATTTCTTGTATGACTCCATCAGAGGTAAAATTTGCAACGGCATATGCTGAAGATTGTAAGGTAGACATATAACGACGTTGGCTGATTTTTCGGCTATCAACGCCAACAAATCCTCAATGCTAGGAACTATAACCGCGGTACTATCATTCTTCATCTTCTTTTCTTTGTAAATAATCAAACCGCGAGCATCCATTCTAGGAACCGTCGTTTCCGTGATCACTGGATCTGCAGACAGACTTTTGAAGCCTGACACTCGGTTTCCGACCCCAATTAAAGGAAAGTACAACGTTGAAGATGATTTATCATAGTGACAATCTAATTGCTCCATTTGTCCTTTTGATACAGACTGTAATTTAATATTATCTTTATTATTAAGAGAATAAAAAAAAATTTGTTTCCAGAATAAGCATATGATAAAATCACTTTTTTTAGTGAAATTTAGTGTCATTGCCAAGGTCTTGACTTGAATTTGTATGACATTAAAGTTAGCTGTCACTTGACAATTTTTTAATGTTATTTAACAAAAAGATTTGTCCCAAAAAATTATTTTTAAAAAATTTGCATTTTTTGATTTTTTACATTTCTAGATGTCAATTTTTTTTTGTTTTTTTTTTTTTTTTCATAGTTAATTTGTTATAAAATTTTTAAAATTATTAAATATGTGCTACATTAATTTTCATTGAATTTGTGCCTTTTCAAAGTTTTATTTCATTCTCACTGATAGTCAATTCATTATAAGTATTTATGCTGCATTCGAAAATGCTCTATTTCTAGCCACATAATTAATAAATGACCTTGTATCTTGTGAATTATTGACATTTTTTAAAATATAAGCTCACCATGACATTACACTCATCAAAACCTTTCATTTGAGTACCCACATAAATTTTTCATATATATATATATATATATATATATATGTATATTACATATATGTATACATGAAAAATATATCAAAATGCATGTGGGTACTCAAATGAAAGCTCTTGATGATTGTAACATCGGGATGTGCTTATATCTTAAAAAATATCAATATTTAAGAAATTACAGTGCAATTTAACAAAATTCGTTGTTTAATAAAGCAAAATTTTATTTATTTATAGTTGACAGGTCACGGCAGTCACATAGTGACTGCAAGGTTGCTAGTTTTGTTTTAATTTTCGAAATTTTTATTCGATTATTAACTAGGAATACTTACTGGCAACTTATATTTGCTTAGAATATCCCTGCAGTCTTCTTCGGAAATATTAATAAAACTTTGACAATTACTTTGAACTGCATTCCATTTGTCTGTGAAATCATCCTCGATGCAAAGACTGTCCTTCAACTTTTTAAACTCTTCAGGCTTTTTGGAATCCAAAAACTGAATTAAATTATCCCAAGTACCAGTATGTCGGCAACTTTGGCACATAAAATATCCTAAAAACAATTTTTTTTTAATTCTTAGTATTGTTATTATCCATTAAAATAATATTCTTTATAAATTTTAGTAACTTGGACAGGAAAAAGATTTGATGTTAAATTTTCAACGAAACGTCGTAACAGTTGAAAATTTAACATCAAATTTTTTTTTCTGTCCAAAGTTCCTGATAAAATTTATTAATAATATTGTTTTTAATTCAATTAAATATATCGAGTATTAAAATTAAAAATGATACTGAAATTAGCAAACATCTGACAATTGTTCGAATTTTTATAACAAATTCATTAGTATAAAAAAATATTTAAAAAAATTCACACTTATAATTTTTAAAAACTTCTTGTGAAATTTTTTAGGTAAATTTTTTTTATGACAATTTCATTGTTTGTTGAATTCATTATTATAAATTAAAACAATAATTTACCTGTTGCTTTATTTACAAATACGTTGAATTCACTAGCTTTCTTCGGCTTACAAATAGGACAATTGATAGCAATACAAGCATGACCTTCTTGAATAGGTACATTTTTAAGCCTAAATACTTTACGAATTTGTACTAATGATGTTGCAGGTACCTCATCAGCCACTTTATGAAATCCTCGAGTTTTTACCCAGTCAAATTTAAGTTTTCGTCCTCTGTTTATGAATAATTGCAGAGTAATTTTAAAAATCATCATAAAATATTTTTTGCTATGTGTAATTTAACATTCAAATGCACTTTTAAACCATAACAATTAACAGTCATTGTTTGGTTATAAATTTGAATTTGTTAATTTTTCAAATCTTTATCTATTAATTTTCATTTTTTTTATTATGTTAAAGTAAATAAACAATGATTATAGAGAACACTAATATTTTCGATGTTAATATTCATTTAAATAATTAAAAAAATCATAATTTAAAAAATGTAAACAAGAATATTAATTTTTATGAAACACACGTGCGTCTCATGATACGGTGGGTTTTTTATCCTTGTCTTTTTCAGCGTGAATCAAGTATAGTTCTTCTTCTATCTCATTTTACGTAAACATGGATTGATATACATAGGTATAACGCGTGATGTATAACCTCAAATGTGTGTTATTCGTGTTACTATGATCATTATTACTGAAAAAAAAAAAAAAAAAAAAAATAAAAAAAAAAAAAAAAAAGGAAAAAAAAAAAAAAAGGATTATACAGTTGAATAAAAAAATTGATTTTTTTTTGTAGAAAATGCTCAGAGTACATGTTTAACATTTTAAAAATAGAAGAATTCTTTTATACGATCAAGTTGAAGTCATGAAAATTAATTTAGTAGATATTTGATAATTTTAAAAATTTTTTTAACTCACTAGAAATTTGAATAGCGCGCTACGCGCGCGTGAATCGTGGCCCGTTTTTTGCGAGTTTCGACCTTTGACTAACTTCAAGACTTTCATGTATCTTAATTTAGAGGATATAAATTATGGAAAAAAAGTAGAAAAAAAAATTGACATGTAGAAATTTTAAAAAATGAAAAATGCAATTTTTTAAAAATAATTTTTTGAAAAAAATCTATTTGTTAAAAAAAATTAAAAAATAGTTAAGTGACTGCGAACTTTAATGTCATGTTGAAGTCAAAAAGTAAACATCGGTAAAGCATTAAAATTACAAATACAAATACCTATATTATAGTTAATGAAAATTAATTTAGCAGATATTTTATAATTTTTTTAACAAATAAATTATGTCAAAGAAAATGAGAAAAAAAAAATTGACATTTATAAAATTAGAAAAATAAAAAATCCAATTTTTTAGAAATGATTTTTCGGAGCAAATTTATTTATTAAGGAAAATTAAAAAAATTGTCAAGCTAACTTTAATGTCATTATAATTATAGAGAATAATAATAATAATTGTTTATAAATTTATATGACTCTGAAATTAGCAGACATTTAACAATTTTTTAATTTTTTTTTAGAAAAATAAACTAGGTCAAGAAAATAATGATTTAAAAAAAATTGAATTTGTAATTTTTGAGAATTTCTATAGATAAAATTTTTTTAATAAGTTTTTCTTGCTACAATTACCTCGTTAAAAATTTCTATAAATTATCAGATGTCTCGATTTCGGTATCATACATTTACAGGTATTCATTTAAACGCATATGTAGTTTTTTGTAACAAAATAACTAAAGCAGAAGATAAATAAATGGAGAAAAACGGAAAAAAGAAAACAAAAAACACAATATATTAAATTAACTAACATATCTGATGATTTTTATGATACTGGAAATTAACAGATCTGTCATTTTTTTGGATTTCTATAACAATTAATTTATTATGAAAAATTTTTATTTAAAAAATTCCCCGTTTAGAAATTGAAAAAACTACAAGTGTCAATTTTTTAAAAATGTTAACATTTTTTCTTTATAATAGACTTGTAAAATAAAAATAAAAAAAAGTTATGAGATTTCTGCTGATTTCAGAGTCATTGATTTTTTGGATTTTTTTAATTCCACCTGTAGCCATGAAAAAAAAATTATTGATGTTTAGTCAATAAACAGGAAATACAGTTTTTAAAAAAATCCATAACTTGTTTTCTACAATTAACCGTCGAATATTAAGTGTACTGCTAAGTCAAGGTATGGATCGCCTATTCGGTATGCAAAAAATAATTAATCATTAAATTGTGTAAAATTTCTTGTATGCTTTTTTTTCAGAGTCTTATTATTTAAATACACCAATAGAATGTAAGAACAAATAATTCATAATCCAGAAGACTAAAGAAGTAATAATACATGCTATGGCCAAATACATGGTCGCATAACGATAATCTTTGAAGTAACAAATAACGCTTGCTATAAACATGATTAATAATAATACTAAACCCAATATTTGAATTATCCAATAAAATTTCTCTCTGGAGATTCTTGATGAATCTGAGTCATCTTCTGAATTTGTATTTCTTACGGGAGTAGTCACGTTGCTTGCATTAAGACTTAATTGGTTCATATTCATTTGAGTAATTATACGGTTTTATTATTATTTATTGAAGGTATATAAGATCTCTTATGACTTACTAACTAATAAATAGCGTAATTTAAAATAATTATTTATTTTTTTATTGAAATTTTTTGTCGTGATTCATAATAAACTTGTGTATCTGTTAAGTACTAATTTTTTAAATACCCATAAAGCTAAACCTACAACTAAACATATAATTACTATCCACATCATTATGTTGAGGTAGCCGAAAACCCAAAGAGCTATTAAAAAAATCAAGATTATAATAAGCATGCCACTTTGTGCAAATTTAGCCCTACGGTGGTGAACTTTTTTATGATGTTTTTTATGATGATCATTTTTATGATTTTTTTCATGATGATCATTTTCATGATGATCATTTTCATGTGACGATGTATCATGTTGCTTTGAATCCATTGTTTTAATTATTTAACCACTGATCAGTAGGAAAAAACTGATATTGAATAATTTTTATTGATAAATAGTATCAGAAATTTTTAATTATTGGTTCGTTCTAATAAAAGGAATAAAAAAAATTTAATATTTCAATTATTACTTTAATTCGTGATTGTGATTTATTTAAACTATTGTACAATCTTACTCCAGCAAATTATTTTTAAAAAGGGTCATTTGTATAGCAAGTGGCTGATTTTTGAGTTTACTTCACATACAAAGTTATACGGAATTGTAAAAATTGATAAAAAGAATTCTAGCAAAGAATTTGCTACCGAAAATAAAATAATGCATATCAATGATAAGCAAAGCATTGAAAGTTTCAACTTGAAGTTCTTAACATCTGATATTTTTAATTTCCTTATATCGTTATTGAATTCTCTAATTTTTTGCTGGTAATCTAGGTCGCCCATTTTAAGGTATTGCAAGAAAATTTATCGATATTTAACTAAAATCTTCTATTATTGTTCAGTGAAAGAAAATTGAAACTACCTTTCTTCTAAATAAAGTGACTAATTTTGTGAAAATAATTTTTTATCGAAATTTTCTAATCATTCTTTACTATCTATGGTAACATTAGAATTTGTTATGTATTTTAAAATTTAATGTTTACGTGAAGAATGCCCATTCTATTAATTTATTAATGATACTGAATATTACACCAGGAATTATTACGAAACATATTAAAGTATTGAATGAAAACCAATAAGTCAATATAATCATAGTTGAAATTAGCAATGAAATTGATAAAATTATTTTAAGTCTCCTTGTTTTTTTAACGGTGTCGCATTCACTATCATCTTCATAGGTATTTCTTCCAATATTTTTAAATAATTTTACACGACTGAAGGTCATAATTATGTATCTTTATTGTTATAACTATCAATTAAGGTGAAGATATATTAATAGTTATATGCGAAGTTAAGAAGAAAAATATCTCTTCTATATAAAGAGAAAAAATGAAAAAAAATTTTTTCATTTATCAGATGGTTCTATGTTACAGATGTTATTGCACCTCTGTAGATTTTTAGCACCAGTTTAAATAAAAAAAAATAAATTTTATTTATTTGCACAAGAAAATAAAAGTTTCGCGAATCTGCTGGTGTATTTGTATACAAAAAAGAATTTAGTTGATTCATGTAAATAATTTTGAAGAATTTCATCTTCTTGATTTGATGAGTAGAAAAATTTTTAAACTAAGACATTTTTCTTGGTTTAAGTAAATTTTATTTAATTCAAGAATTTTTCGTCTTGATTCAAGACAATGATATTCTTCAAAATTATTTTCTTGGTTCAAAAATTTTTCTCTTGATTCAATGTAATTTTTTTTTCAGTGTAGTGAAACTATAAATAATAAACACTTTTGATATGAAAATGAACTCCTGTTTTGTGACTCATAAATAAAATCGACGTATTTTATCTTTTACGTTACTTTGCGAAATTTAAAATAATAAAAGTGATAGCAGGGGGAACACCACTGTGACGATCGAAAAAAAGAGATAATTTTCGGGAATTTTTTTGACAGGGAAAATAAAAGAATTTGGGAATCGGTTTTTTTTTTTTTATTTTGTTAAGGGTACATTAAAGATTATCGCCCTAAATTTTTATTAAAAAATATTTAATTATTACAAAGTTATTAACAATCTCGTCGAGCACTGGAGAAAATTTCTTCCCTCCACGGTCGGTTCGATAACTCAAAAACAGATCATCTGAAAATAAAAACCCAAATTGCTTTTTAATCAGTAAGGATGTAGAATTTGAAAAATTTTTATTTTAAAGATTTTTTTAGCCGGGTTAAAACAAAAAAAAAAAACAGTAATAATAGTGAGAAAATTTTCAATCAGTTGCCATTTTTTAAAAAATTCAAATTTTACAAAATTCCGTACGTGCGACGATAACTACATCTTTACTAATTGAAAAGCAATTTAGGTTTTTATTTTCAGATGATCCGTTTTTGAGTTATCGAACCGACCATGAAGGGGAAAATTTTTTCTAGTGCTCTACGAGATTGTTAATAACTTTGTAATAATTTAATATTTTTTAATAAAAATTTAGGGTAATAATCTTTAATGTACCCTTAATAAAATAAAAAACATCCAATCCCCAAATTCCTTTATTTTCCCTGTCAAAAAAATTCCCGAAAATCACCTATATTTTTCGATTGTCACAGTGGTGTTCCCCCTTAATATCTTCACTTTGGGCGCATTATGGCGCGCAGTGCAGGAATCTCAAACTTTCTG